ATGTCCTTCCCAGAGAGATCGGGAATGACCTCACCATGTCCTTCCCAGTAGCACTGGGAAGGATCCCAGTGGGATCCGGAACAGCCCCACCGTGCCCTTCCCAGAGGGATCAGGAAGGATCCCAACGGGATTGGGAATGGCCCCACTGTGCCCTCCCCATTGGGATTAGGAAGCACCCCAATGGGATTCGGAATTGCCTTGCTGTGTCCTTTGCAGAGGCATCGGGAATGGCCCCATGGTGCCCATTCCAGAGGGATTGGGAAGGATCCCAGTGGGATCAGGAATGGCCCTGCCATGCCCTTCCCAATGGGGTCAGGAACAGCCCCGCCGTGCCCTTCCCAGAGGGATCAGGAAAGGCCCCACCATGTCTTTCCAGCTCCCTCCTGCTGCTGGAGGCTTCCCACACCTGCCGTGCTCTCCATGTGGGTGCCAGCCCTGAGCCATTCCAGTTTGTGCCCTCCCGGAGCCCTCCCCAGCACCCTCTGTGTGCCCGGGACTCAGACTTCCCATGTGCCTCACGTCCAGCCCTGGCTGCAGCCCCGCATTCCCCAGACTCGGAAAGCCCCGGGGGCAGGAATGTGAAAGCAGACTTCCCAAAACTCCAGATCCCAGCACAGCCGCGGCCGGGGCAGTGCGAGGGCAGGTGTCCGGCTGGGACCGGCCTCGAATTTCCTCAAGGAAACTCCCGAAACTCGCCGTGCCCTCTCCGTCCCACCCACCAGACGGGAATATTTACCCCCAGTGCATAACGAGACGTGGAATCATCGCTGCCCTGACCCAGTGAACAAAGCCGGGGTGGGGACAGGTGACAGACAGAGCTGTCATTAAGGGCTGTATCACCCAAACCTTACACCTAAATTACACCTCCACATCCTGCTCCCCTGGCACTCCCACGGCGTGCCACTCGGGTGGGGCTGGGCTGGTAGCAAAAGGGTGCCCAGCAGGAGGAACCAGCCCTATTTCTGGAGCAGCCTGGAATAGCCACGGAGCTGGCTGGAACCCATTTCCCCTCCTCGCTCACCTCCCAGCCCGTTTTAGGATGTGAGATTTTCCCTAAAAAGCACCTTGGAGTTAGAGTTATTCCGTGCTCAAGCTTGGGTTTAGTTTGTACTCAAGCACTCAGGTCTAAATTTAGTGTGTCCCATTTAAGGCACCGACTGCATCACCCACAGAACACCTTCCCAGGCCGGTTTTCAGCAGTTCTGTCCCCAAATTGGCTGGTGCAGAGCTGGGAGCTTGGTCAGGAATTGGCATCTGGCTCCCTTTTCCAGCCACAACTTCCATCAGTCGTGCCCTGCCTGTTGTTTTTGTGTCGTGCTCTTGCAACAGGAGGTGCCTGTGATTCACTCCATTTGTTTGGTTTGCTTTTCTTCTTTTTCAATCTGCGCACAGCAAAACATATTTCTTTTTTCTTTTTCTCTTTTTTTTTTTCATCCCTAACCAACATTTTCAGCTCCCAGCATCCCCCAACCCTGTGAAAAAGGAGAAAATAGCACTGCTGGGAAAGCGAGCAGCTTTCTCCTGGAAATGGTGATGCTCTGAGAGCTTGGTGGGAAAGTGTCCTACAAAGATGTTTCACACCACGAGACCACAAAAAACCCCAGAGATGCTGTCACCGAGGAGAAAAGCTGCTGCTGGCACCAGAAATCCTTCGTTTGCCACAACAGGAGGAGATGAAGACCTCAAGGATCATCTCATCCCATGCTCTGCCATGGTCAGGGACACCTCCCACTGTCCCAGGGTGCTCCCAGCCCCAATGTCCGACCTGGCCTTGGGCACTGCCAGGGACCCAGGGGCAGCCACAGCTGCTCTGGGAAATCCATCCCAGCCAGGAATTCCTTCCCAATATCCCATCCACCCCTGCCCTGTGGCAGTGGGAGCCATGCCCTGTGTCCTGCCCCTCCATCCCTGATCCCAAACCCCTCTGCAGCTCTTTCCAGAAGGTTCCAGGTGGACCTAGCCCTGCTGTGCCAGGGCACAGCAAGCTCCCCGGCAGCCCTGCTGACACAGCCCTCCCAGGCAAGGAGGCAGCCAAGCCCAGCAGAGCCCAGGAGCTGTTCCAGGCAGATTCCCGGAACTGCCAATCCAAGTGCCCGCTGTAGCCCGGGGCGGGCTGGAGCCAGCTCACCCCGCTGAGGCAGCCAAGGGTCAAGTGTATAATCCTGCCTTTCCCTCGGGGACCTCCTTATCTCGGCTTCCAGCTCACCTGTTAATGAGCTGGGAATAATTAAACAGCCGGAGCCCAGCCCACCCCGCGGTGGGATGAGTTTTCCTCGGCTCTCTGCACGTGTGGCTGAGCAGGGACGAATTGCTGAGCGTGGCAGCAGCTCCAGCCCAGCCTGCGCTGCAAAGGCCGCGGGCTGCAGCAGCCCCAGGCTCCGTGCCACGCTCAGCGTTTTGCGATGCTCGGTGACTTTCCGGTCAGGAGACAGCCGGGCCGGGCTGTCCCCTCCACTGTCACACTCCCCGGGATACGGGGGAGCCGTGCCGAGCACCGAAAGCTCCTTGTGGGATGCGGCTGCACCTTTCCTAGAGCATATCCCAACCGGGCAGGGGAAAATCCAGGGAGGCAGGGGAGGATGGGGAGGGAAGGGATGATGGGAACACTCCGTGAGGCTCAGCCCGCAGGAACTCGGAGCCCTCCGCAGGACACGGGGAAGGGCAGCAGCCGGGGACACTCCCGGGTCAGCCTCCAAAGGGAACGGGGTAAAGGCCCTGTCAGCAAAAATGCCTCGAGCAGTGATGTGGAGCTGACCTTTGCTCCGGGCTCCGTGGGAGGAGGGGACCCTGCAGAGCCAGGAGTGCCTGGCAGTGACCACTTGCCCACGGTGACCTGGAGCCGGCCACCTGTGCGGGCTGCAGGGGCCACGGAGCTGCAGAACACTGTGCTCCAAAGTGGTGGGAATTGTTAATGCGGGAGCTCCCAGCGGCAGGACAGGCCCGCGGTGCTCCTTTGTCTGCAGGGGTGAGCTCAGGGTTGTGCCACCTTGGCCTGGGTGTGTTTTGTCCCAGATGCCCGCGTCCCCTCTGCTATTTCTTACTGGGAATTGGGGGCCAAAGTAGCGGGAGCTGCAGGGAGGGCAGGGTCTGGTGGACGCTGGGAGGATCCAGATGTCGCCAAACCGGTGAAATTGAGCCTTTTGGTGTCACAGACTTGCCGTGCACGCTGCTGGTGAGGGGATCAAGGCCGAGGGATGGAAAAGCAGCTGCAGCTTTGCCCGATTTCCTGCGCTGCAGGCAGGGAGGGATCGCTCCTGCAGAGAGCCCGGCTCTGCCCAGCCCCAGAATTCCGCACCCTCGCCCTCCTCAGGGCTGGGGCACGTGGAGGTGCCTTTGCCGAGCCGCATCACCTGCCGCCTGTGCGGGGCCGTGGCGTGGAAGAAATTTAATTAGGGGAGAGCTGCCAGCTCCCGCAGAGCCCAGGGCCAGCCCTGCACCACTGCAAAGGCAGCGGCGGGCCCGGAACGCTTCTCCCCACCCCCAGGAATGGGGGGCCGAGCTGGAAATCAGCCCTGCGAGCTGAAAATCAGCCCTGCGGCTCCATCCCCCCCGCACGGCTGGCGAGGGCCGGCTCGGAGCGGGCTGCAGCTGCGGCAGCCACGTGCGGAGCCCGAACGCTGAACATGCTGAGCTTTCAGTGCGCCCGGGCCACGGGAAGTTCAGCGGGGTTTGCGGCCACAGCAGCCCCCAGCCCGTTTCCTCCTCCTCCTGCTCCTCGCACACCCACTGCCCTGCTTCTGGAGGGTAGAGGTGACACCAAGGAGATGTGAAATAGGACACGGCTCGCTCCCATCGCTCCCTGACTGCAATCCCGCTTAGCCCGGGGCCCCGCCGAGTTCTCCGAAATAATTACAGGCACGGATAAGCACCGAGAGTAGCTGAATGCCCTGATTGGTTTCGGTGACAGGTGCTAGCAGCCTTCAGTGCCACCCAGACACGGGTGAGCGACGAGTGACAGCATTGTGCAGGGACACAGGTGGGGATCGGCCACTCCGTCCCTCCCTGTCCCTCAATTTCCAGCCACACCGAACGCCAGCGCTGTAGGGAACAGGGGGGGATGTCCCCGGAGCAGCAGCTCCCATCCCCTTTTCCCGCAGCCACCGCCGGTGACGCCATAGCGGAGCAGCCTCCCCTGCCCTGCGTGCCGGTGCCTCTCCCCTTTGTGTGACAAGGTGACAGCAGAGGCCACCCCCGAGCCGCGCACACGGCCAGCACCCCCCTCCCCGCTCTGCCAGCCCGGGGAAGGGCACGCAAATGCCAGCGGAGGAGAACAGATGGCACGGAACGAAGCGGGGGAAATGGGCGTTCTCGGAAGTTGCCAGGGAATGGGGAGCAACAGAGGAGCCCTTGTGCTGCAGAGCCCGCCCGGCAGAGCCAACGGGGTCTTTGTTCCAGCCAGCCTGGAGGGGATTCATCCCAAAACTCGGGATGAAACCAGCGCCGACACACCAGGCTCGGAGCCTTGAAAACATTTCTTTGTTCGGGTTCGCCCAGATCCAGTCTGGTTACAAAGTCCTTACGTGCCGTTTGTAAATTTTTTCCCCGAGACCAGCGGTCCTCGGCAAATATTTACTCCCCAAACTCGTCTGCAGCTAGCAGGGCGAGTTCAAGCAGATAAATAAGTGCATTAACTATGTAAATACACACTTCTCCTTTCTGGAGAACTGCAAGTTAGGAAATGTGTTAGAGCTTTTTGACAGCCTTTAATATAGTCAGCAGATAGGGGGGGAAGCGCTTTTCGACAGCCTTTAATATCCCCAGCTCGTAGAAAAATGCTTTTAAACCACTAAAAAAAATAAAATAAAGAAAAAAGAAAGAACGGTCTGAAAAGCCAATTAAAAGCCAGCAGCCTCAGCCCACAGGCGTTTAACGAGAGCCAAAAGCCTCCCCGAGAACACAAAAGAAATAAAAATAGCCCGAGTGCTCAAAGGACGAGCCCCAGAAGGGAAGGAGCCGGCGCGGGGAGCAGCCGCATCCCGAGGGCGCAGCCCGGGACTCACCTTGGGGAGCCGCGATGATCCTGGGGTTCACCTTGGGGCGCCCCGCTGCCCACGCGCCCAGCTGGCCGAGCCACAGGGCCACCAGGAGGGCAACAGGCGACTTCCTCCTGCCCATTCCTAGTCCGGGAGCGAGCCGGGATCGGCGGCCGGGCGGGCTGACAGCTGCATCTCCCCGCGTACAAAAGGCTGCGAGCAGCCGGGCGCAGCCAATGGCGCGGGGAGGGCGGGCCCTGCGCAGGGAAGATGGAGTAAAACACCCCGGCAGCTCGCCTCACACCTGAGCTCCGGCACAGCTCTTACCGCGCGCTTTGGGGGCTTTTTTTGGGGTTTTCCTCCTTCTCCTCGGTGAGGAGGTCGGTGGCTTTGTCCCCCGCGGAAAAGCCGCAGCTGGGCCGGGGTTTGCGAAGAACTTCCCGCGGGGGCTGCGGAGGGGAAAGAGAGGTTGGGACGAGTGAGAGGGGAACGGAAATAGGGGCAGGGAGGGGGTGGTGTGACACGGCGGTGTGCCCCGAGCCAGGTGCGGTGACAGGAGGGCAACATCTGGATGGGGAGCGACACAGCTGGATCCAGGAGGAGCAGGATGCAGCAGGGCCAGCAGGGAAGGGCCACTCCTAGGGACACCCGAGCGTCACCACGGGCTCCCCGCGCTGTCACACCCCGAGCACACGTGGCAGGGGAATGACATCCCCGAGTGGATGTCACACTCCGGGAGCCGGCAGGAAGGCGAACCCTTGCCCGAGCATCCCGAACCTTCGTGACGCGGCCGCTCCCCCAAAGGACACCCCGCGGGTGGCACGGGCACCTTTTTGTCGCAAAGGTCCCTCCGGGGAGGCCCGGGAGCCTTTGTGGCTGTGGTTAATGAGAGGAGCGGGGCATTCCGAGCACGGAGAGCGAGCCGGGACGTGACCGGAATGGGAGAAGCCCACCGGGAAGGAGCCGCAGCTGCGCCCTTTAAAGCGACGATTGAAGCTCAGCCCCGGCCCCGCTCCGCTCCTGGAGGGACGAGCAGGGGCAGGGCGAGGGGGGCACGCTGAAGGAAGCAAAAATAAATTAATGAGCCGGCTAATGGTGAATTTGAAGGAGCCACAGGGATTTCCCGGCGCTTCTTTGTGTGTGTGGGTTCATCTTTCTTTGGCCACGCAGCTGCCGGGTGTAATTACAGGGGTAATTACAGGGGTAATTACAGGGGGAAGGCACACACTCACTTCTGGCCGAGGTGATTCCCAGCCCTGCAGCGCTCTGAGCTCAGCCCCAACTGCCCCGGGGGCAGCTGCAGGTCCCTGTTTGCTCCCTGAGCTGCCAGACCCCGTTATCACTTGGTTTCCAGCAGGAAAAAAAGGAGTTTTCTTCCCCAAGAACACTCCTGAAAACAATTTTCTTCCCGAAACACCCCTGAAAAAGGAGGTTTCTTCCCCAAGAACACCCCTGAAAAAGGAGGTTTTTTCCCCAAAAACACTCCTGAAAAAGGAGTTTTCAGGACTCAAGCTCCTTCAGGATTTTAGGAGTGTTTGTAGGATCCCAGAGTGGTTTGGGGTGGAAGGGACCTTGGTGTCCAACACCTCCCACTGTCCCAGGGTGCTCCGAGCCCATCCTGGAGCGCTTCCAGCTGCTCTGGGCAGCCTCACAGGGAAGGGTGAGAGCAGCCAGGGGGGAGCCTGGCTCCCAGAACCATGAGCTCATTGCCTGGGAAAGCGATTCCAGGAGATGGGCAGGATGTGGAGAACAAACCCCCAGGAAAACCCAACCTTCCAGAGCAGCAAAGCTCCCCAGAGCCCATTTCCAGCCTGGCCCGGTGCGCAGGAGGTGCTGGAATGAAGAACATCCTTCCCAAAGCAGGGAAGGAGCTCCCAGATTGAGTTTGGTAGCTCAGGAGCAGGCAGCATCAGATTCCAGGCAGCAGCTCAGCCCCTTCCTGCAGAAATTTCCATCTGCTCCACTCTGGGATCAGAACTTCCCCAGCAGAACTCGTGAGCAGCTTTCTCCCAGATCATGCGCCTCGCTTCCAGCACGGATCAGGAGGCAGCCTCCCCCAGGAATCTTGTCAGAAGCACAGATTTTTTTCCCCAAGAGGAACAGTTTTATTCATCATGTTTGTGGCCCAGGCAACCCAGAGAGCTCGGATTGCACTTGGCACCCGTGCAGGCTTGTGGTGATTTTATCCACAAAACCAGATCTGTTACCTTCCGCCGGCCAGGAATGTGACCCTTGGAAGCACCAGCAGGGAGGATCTTCCACGGAAAAAAGGAACAACAAGAGAAATCTCAGCCCTGGCTAAGCCAGGCAGGACCTTTGCTGTGCCACAAAGCAGGTGTGACACTGCCAGAGGGACCCTGCTGAGCTGGACAAAGGATGAGCATGTTCCTCATCCCCCTTTTCCATCCTCCCTTCTCAGACAAGGTTGGGATGAGCTGGAGAAAGGATGAGAAGGTTCCTTTTCCATCAGCCCTTCCCAGACAAGGTTGGGATCATCTGGACACAAGATGAGGCTGTTCCTCATCCCCCTTTTCCATTGGGATCATCTGGACATAAGATGAGGATGTTCCTCATGCTCCTTTTCCATTGGGATCATCTGGACACAAGATGAGGATGTTCCTCATGCCCCTTTTCCATTGGGATGAGCTGGACAAATGATGAGGATGTTCCTCATCCCCTTTTCCATCACTCTTCCCAGACAAGGTTGGGATGCTGCACCTGGAAAATCCTGTGCTGAAGCTGTGGGAGGGACTGACAGCCCAGGAGGTTGGGACAGAACTTTTGGAAGATGAGAGCTCCCACTCCTCCTTTTGGGAACAGGCTGCCTGAGAAGGCCGGCTTTGGAGTGGGAATCAGTGAAATCCCCCTCAGCTCCTGGTGGTGCTGACAGACCCTTCATTCCCAGCTGACAGAGTGAGGAGGGAAGTGAGCAGAGCAGATCCTTGATCAGCTGCTGCAGTTTCTGCTCTCCACACCCAAATTCTCCCCCCCAGCTCACATTCCTGGTATGCAGCAACCAAAAAACCTCAACCATCCCTCCCCAAGGCCACGGCCCTGCACAGTTTGGGAACTTCCCAGCTCTCCAGGCTCACCTTCTCAAGCTGGATTGAGTCTGGGGGCTCTGTGCAGTTGGCACAAGTTCCCCCCTGGGTTCTGCCAAAGCACAAGTGCCACCAAAGGGGCCCAAATGAGCTCAGAGCCACCCCCAGGGCTTTACAAACCACCCAGGAAAGGGGTGGAGGAACCACGTGCCCCCAAGAAGAGATTTCACCCCCCAGAAAAGATTTCCCAAGAGATTTGGTCAGAAGGGAACTTGACTGAGCTGATTTGCACTCAGTGATTTTGAGAGCAGCACAAAACCCCAGCTGGGAGTCCCCTTCCTCCTATGCCTCCAAAGGAAAGCCCAGGGGCTAGCCCAGGACCTTCCAGGCCAGGGTCACAACGTGATTTACTGGTCACAGGTCCTGCCTGAGGACTGGCCACAGCCACAGCCCACCCTTGTCACCAAACCCACTCAGGAGCATCACCAGAAGGTGTCACATCCTCAGAGAGCGTGGGAAATGAAATTGTAGAAAATTCTTCAAGTTTGATAGAAGTTTGCTATTTGTTTACACACAAATACATACTATGTAAACCTACTATTTTTGTTTAAATAGTAAGTAAACCTACAAGCTGTGCAAATATAATATTTGCATGTAAACAAATATCAAACTTCTATTAAACTTGGAGAATTTTCTCCAAATTCATTTCCTACAAGAGGGGAAATGGTGGGGCAGGAAACGAGGCAGGGGTGCCAGAAAGGGAGAGTTAACAAAATCCAGTGTGGAGTCTCACCCAGTGAAACAAGGCTAGAACAAAAAGAACAGGAATGGTGGTTCTGCTCACCACACTCCCACCATGAGAGCTCCATGCCAGCTCCATGTCCCTGTGAGGTTCCAGCAGGTCAGAGTGTTCTGCAGCTCCTGAGCCTGCTTTCCCTGTGTGCTGTGCTCCAGGGCAGCACTGCAGTGGGAATGGCCACGTCTCAGGCTCCCCAAAATTGAATTCCCACATCTGCCAGCAGCTCTGGAATGCCCAGGGAGGGTCCAGCACCACCACCCCCTAACCAAGACGATAACTCCCCTTATCAGCCCTAGCAGAGGCACAAAACCCTCCTGCACACAGCTGGTTAAGGTCTGACCCCTCTGCAATCTGCCTGGAGTTTCAGCCCACATTCTTCTGCAGGGAGTCCAAACAAACTCACCTGGATCTGGAGAAGCTGCTGGGCCAAGTGCCAGAGCCCTCTCTGGCCTCATAAAGCCGAGCTGCTCAGGAAAAGAAACCTCCTTGGCCATGACCTTGGAGCGCTTCCAGCAGCGCTATCTCGCCAGAAAGGGAGAGACAGGGAAAAAAGGGGGGGAAAAGGGCCCTGTCCTGCTTCTCCTCCCCACTGTGACCCCTGAGAGCCACCCCCGGGCCTGGTGACTGTGGTGACACTGGATCAGCACACACGGGGAGCTCTCCATCTCTTCCAGCAGGATGTCCCCGGAGTCCCTTTGGCTTGTTTTTCCACTGGGCTGGGCAGGGAAGAGCTTCCCTTTCTTCCCGTGTCCCATCTGTCCTTCCTGGTGCTGCCTGTCACCTGCTGTGGGGCCAGCCCAGTCCCACAGGGCCCCTTTGGGACAGAGGTCAGCTCAGGGAGGAAAAAGGGAATGAGGAATGGGGTGGGAGGAGAACAAAGCTGATGCCTCAGGTTTAGGTTTTATATTTTTCAGATTTTGTGCTGCTTTAGTGTGTGGGTCTGGGCTTCATATGAGGGAATGGTGAGCTCTCTGCACAGAGCAGGGAGACAAAACAATTCCTGCTCTAGCTGGGCACCAAGGACAAATGACCCAAATCTCAGCCCCAAGGGCATAAACAATGTGGGCTGAAGAGAGAAAAACAAGGATGGGACTGCATGGGCTGGAGCTGTGGTTGGACAATTTGCTGCAATATGCAAATGGAGCAGAACTTATCAAAGTGAGAGACCTTGTGACCAGCTGTCCATTTTGTGACCATTTTGCTTTATCTTGGGTGTAGCCCTGGCTGGGCTCTTGTGCTGCCCAAGGTGGATCCATGGAGGCCTTTTAATAAATCCCTGCTTTATTCTTTAGCTCTGTCTAGCCTCTGCTCTAGGTCAGCTTCACAAGGCATTAAAACAGCTGGGAACTCATCAGAGCAGACAGCAGCTGGCAGGAGCTGGGGTGATTAAATGATGTGTAACTGAGAATCCTCCGGGGTCAGAGCGCTGCAGGGCAGCCAGACA